CCTGCTGAAATTAACTTCTGTAGTGCTGACCTGTTCTTTTAAGCAACCCAGTCTTTTAAGTCTTCTTCCATATGCTCTTACAATTTGGATGCTTGACAATAGAACATATTTTATCAGAAAAATCTGAAGCCTTGCATTTTCTCTGGAAATGGAATTCACATATTGAAGTGACATTGAAGCATACATGCCTTTAATGATTTCATAACTTGATTATGCATATAACATACTTGATTCTGACAGCAATTTTGAGCCATTAAAGCATTATCATTTTTCTAATATTTACTTAGAGTGATGATTTCATGTTGTCCTTTAGAGATTTAAAGACCAGGATTTCACACCTTATTGAATGTCAGAGTAGTCTATGCAGAAAAGAAGACACCTGACATCTCAACAGATTTCTATCTGACATTTTAGTAAGCAATATAGTGACTGTCCTGTAATGAAATATTGACAGTATTGTCACTTTACTAACTTCCTAACCAGTCAATAAGCTTTAAGATGTACACTACAAGGTTGCTGGTTTAATAGATTGGAATATTTCTTGAGCAATGTTTTTTTGAATAGTACGTGTTTCCATGATCCCTTTTCACACAGCAGTTAAACTTGGACTGCGTATCAATAATCTTTTTCTTAACCAAAATTGATACAAAAGGGTACACTTTTCAAATAATAAGGAAATATTAAAATTGATATTAAAAGTAGTCTGAAGCCACTTCTTACCTTTTGTACCACGTCTTCAAAAGTGACATATCCTTTTTATATGTGTCATAGTATTCTGTATATGCTTACGTGCTGTCAAACTTTGACTGGACTACTCATATATAAAAATTTGATTACAGCAGTAATCCATGAAGTATAATAATGAGTAAGGCTAGTTGGAAAGCAAGTCTTGCGTCAAAGTGGAAAACCCACCCTAAGTGGTCTCTGACATCAGTTCTTAAGTTGCAGAGGAGAAGCAGAAGCCAATCTATTTGCCATTGGAAATAATCTCACTGCCTGCCAATAAGCTTTCTAAGGTCATGTTGAATTTTTTCCCCATCATTACTTTTTAAAAATTTGTAGTCTTCCTTAACCTATTTTAAACAGTAGTTAGAGTTTACTCATTAGTTTCTATGAGGAGAAGTTGAAGATACATCAGATTTTTTTACAGATCAATTGTACTTTTGTTTCAAAGAATTATTTCCTTGACAGTGGTAAAAACAAACCAAGCAAGTCCATTTGCTCACAATTCCCAAGCCTGCAAAAAATACCACCACAAAATGTCCTTTAAAACCTTGAAGGGACTGTAGGGAGGAAACTTTATCTGAGATTATAATCTCACAGACTGAGTTTTAACTGTTGCCGTATCTTGAGAGATACTTAAGCAAGCTTATCTTAGTAATAGAAGATATGTGACTACGGCCACTGCTTACAGCTCTTCCTTATCTCATAACTGAACCAATGGCAAATATGCAAGATGAATATGGTATGAACACAAAAGTAAGTTTGCCGATTCCTTTCAGGGTGGAGGTTAGAAAAAGAAAACTTGAAAGCTAGTTCAGAGAACACTGTGGGCTTGATGAAGTGTCTTAGGAAAAACACAGGTTCTGCATCCCTGTAGTCAATAGAGACTTCAGTTTTGATACTGACTTTCTCAGGAATTTAACCTTTACTTCTGTGTTAAAGCCCTGCAGTGTCTTGATGTTACCAAGACTGAACAACATGGGCTTTCTTGGGTTTATTTCCCTTGCACTGTGGGGACCATAAGCCAGTCTTCTGCTTAACCTAGTGGCTACTTTCTGAAGAGGCTCACTCAATAGAGTACTAGCTGATATTCTTTTAAAGCACATCAGGTGGAAGACTCAGTAAAGGTAGAAGATGTTTCAGCTGCTTTTTCAGTCTACTTAGACCAACATTTGTCACCTAAGAGGAGCATCTGAAGTATCCACCTGTAAGCTTGTATGTAAGTAGGAGCTATTTCTTGCTAAATTTGGACAACGCTGTTTAACTCCTCAGTACTGAAACTTCTAGTGTAATGCCATTAGCTGTCATGGTACTGTAAGGCTTTTTGAACAGGATCTTTGAGTAGAAACCTCTATTGTGTGGATGGTTTTGTTTGCTTTGTGGTAGGTTTTTTTTTTCTTTGAGCTTTTTTTTCTTTGTTAAGTTCTTTGCTCCCAGCAAAGCATTCTCTTTTCCCTTACCCCCCACCCCACCTTGAGCATAACTTCTCTTCTGACCTATTGGAACCTAGTGACACATCTGTGATAGCTTTGCTTCGGCATTTCCTGGAACAGGGAAGAACAGTATTTATCTTCCTTTCATGGGAAGGGAGCTGAGTCTTTGCTCAACGTAGCTCTTTCTTGCTGATTGTTGTGTTGCTGGCTTTCCTCACACAAACACAGCTTGCTCCAGCTCCTAAATTAACAATCAGTCATCTAGAAAACCTTTCGGTTCACATGTCTCTGTTCATGCTGTAGTCCTCTGATGTTCTTTGAGTAATAGCTTCCATTATTGGTTCTTAATACATAAAGATTGTTTAAGTGTTTATGCTTTGTATGAAGTCTGTTTAACTCACCTAATTTACCAGGACTGTGGTATCAGCTGTTTACACTTATGAATACAGAGGACTGATGACTGACATTATTTTCTGAAACTGTTTTCAGATGTTACTTCATATTGTATCAGAGGAAGCTTAGGCAAAATCTGGGTGATCTCATCATCTCATTCTGCTAAGTGGAAACAAGAACTAAAGTGAAGAAGGTAGTATGTTAACATAGCATACTTTTTAAGATACTGCTGTGATATGCCAGAGCTTTTTCCCCTTTTTCTAAAAACATGGTTTGCATTGTAAGACCCATCTCTTTCGTTCATAGACACTGTGCTAACTCAAATGACTTGCTTTCTCTCTTGATCACAATTTTTTAAGTCTCCTACTGCCTCAGAGCTTATGATTCTAGTTATTGTAGCTCTGTGTAAGCTCATACTTCTTAGATTTTAAATCTACAAACTCAGACATACCATTCTGTAGGTATAGAAGTGCACTTGAATTAATTTTATTTATTTGGAACAGCTGGTGTACTTTATACTAGCTGTAATGCATTAATGTTACATTTTCATCAATTCATTAGGCTTGAAGCAGAAGTGTGAGGTGGCAAGCTTTAGAATTTATACATTAGAATTTATTAGATTTTTTTATTAGAATTTGTTAGAATTTATACAAGTTTTTAGCTCTGTTTTCAAGTATCTCCCGTACAGTATTTGTTTATCAACATCTCTTCCTGCATTAGATGTCAGTTCTGTCATTTTTAATCCCCAGAAAGCCGGATTATAGAATAGTTATGCATCCAGGACACAATCTCTCATCTCCTCTTTGTAGATGAATTATGTCTGAGAAGCGAATGTTGCATTATACTTTCTATAAAAGGAGTTGATAAATTTACTAAGTATAAACACATAAAATGAAGTGAAGTAAGACCCTCTTCATGAGTTTCTCTTTGGGTGCTTAACTCTCATTTAATTTTACCTAGATAACTAAATAACATATAACATAGAGGAGATGCTCAAGTCTATGTTTAAAAAGTAGGAAGCTGATACATGTTTGCGAAGTCCTTTCTAAAAGTAATTGAAAGAGGCAGGATATTTAAATAATGTTGGTTAGGGACAGTAATTTTCTATTTCGTTGCTTTTTTTTTGAACTTTCAGTATCTAAAGTTGCCTGTCCTGGCAAAAGCAGAAAGCAGAAAAATACCAGAACAGTGCCAAATACACCATTATTCAAGAGGACACTTGAGAATAATCTGAATAGCCAATTGCAAATGAGTCTGATGGCAAACCTGGATGAAACAGTGGAAAAATTGTCAGAGTTTTAGTGGGAAAACCTAAAGCACAGTACTAGAGCTAAAGCTTAATCAATGCACTGTTTTAATTCTTTATACAAAGTATATTGTCTTGCATGGCATACTTGCTTTGCTAGTGATGAAGACTACAAGTTTTTTTTATAATGTGTATCGATTTTTGCCTGCTGATAATTTTTCTATGAAGGTGGGATATTTATATATCAGATTTAGGTAAACTGACCATGGACTTTGGTCTTACTTTTTTATGGATTCCTTGGAAGTACCATGGATATGGCTGAAAATTGTGGGTACAACAGGCTTTTTATGGCATTTAATTTAGTAGCATTTGATAACATTATTCCTGGATAATGTCAGTAAGTGTTTAAGTGATTAAGAACTGCCTAAATGTAGACCAAGGGAATTATGATGGAGATACTTTTTACAGGTTTTTGCAGGAAATCAGTACTAGATTTTTCCTATCAGCCAGTATTTTCCCTGAGGGTGTGAAAATAAATACAAAAATCACTGTTAGCATCATTAGCTAATCTTATTAGTGTTTTCAGACTGTTGAGTAATAATAAAGGCATTAATTCAAACATGGTCACTTCAAAGTTATATGTCTGAGAACAAGATATGTAGGTCACATGAAGAAGAAAAAAAAAAGAGGAGGAAAGACTGTGTTCTGGAAAACTACACCTC